GGGTGCTTGTAGCGCGCTGGCTGCTGCACCTCCTCTTCCTCCTCCTCCTCCTCCTCCTCCCTGGCGAAGGGTGCGCTCCTGGCCGGGGGTCCGCTCAGCATCCGGGCGAAGCCCATCTGCCGGCGCATCCGTGCCCTTTTCCAAGTGCTGCGGGACGGCGGAGAGTCCTGGGGTAGGTAGGGTTCTGGCGGGGGATAGGGGCGGGTGGGGGGGGGGGGTTGGGCAGCCGCCTCGCTCCGCCTCGCAACTCCGGAGTCGCGCGCAACTTTAGAGACCCCGAACTCTCCTCTGGCTCTTCACTCCAGCCTTGGCTGTGGCTTTGGGGATGTGTCCGGTTGGCCCTCGACCTTGGGTCCTTGGTTTCAGGAGGAAGGGCTGCTGCGCGGAGGTAGAGCTTTGCGATGTGTGTGTGCAGGGGGGGGGGCGGGTTACTCTACCCGCAGTATTTCCAGGCAGGGCTGGGGAAAGAGTCGGGTCTGAAGATGCGGAGAGCACGTGTGTATGGACATGGGCCAGGGAGACGGTAGTCCCAAGCGCGCGATTTTTAGGGGGCGGGAGCCAGGCGCCCCCACGCAGGGAACCCCGTCCCGCCCTGAGTGCCGCCAGGACCCGGCTTGGACTAGCCGCCGCGCGTCCCAGACCAGCGTGGGGGAGCGGGATTTGCCTGCCGACCAAGCTTCTCCTGGCAAGGGCAGGCTGGGGCGAAGGGCAGTCCCGCTTGGCTCTGTTGGCCAGGCTGAGTTGACCCGCGGAAGATTTTTCGCCCTGGGCACGTCGTTGGTGGCGAGGGCAGCGCCTGGCGCGGTGGGTTGTGTTGGCCGCGCGCACTCCAGCGCAAAAAAAGGACGCAAAGCCGCGCAAAGCGTCTTGGTTTCCCCCCAACCAACCCCCCAATTTTTGCTTGAGCACCCCACGTCCCATCCCTTCCTCCTTGGTGCCTTTAGCTTCTGTGGGTAAGGTGAGGTGCAGGCAGAAGTTCCACAGGAGAATCCCTGGCTCTTTGGGTAGGGTAGATTTCTTCTGGCCATGGAGGTTCTTTTACGTTATCCTTGGTTGTGATGGATGTTAGATGAATCCTATGTCTTCTTATTTGGGAGCAAAGCCTGCTGCGCTCGCTGCAGTTTACTCCTAGGTAAACATGTGTAGGATTATGCTGCTGCTCTATGATGGTTTCTTTCCTTTAAAAAAACAACAACACGCTTTTCTGTACACTTAGAGGGAAAAACGTTTTGGGTACTGCACATGGAAGGTTGGAAGCCATAGCAGCTTCTGTGGGGTAGGTGAGGTGCAGGCAGAAGTTCCACAGGATAATCCTTGGCCTCCTTGGGTACTATGTCTGGTACTATGGTGGGCTCCTCACAGTCAGTACAGAACTCTAGATGCATCTGTGGTCAGATTTGGTACAACACAGCTCCTCTTTATGTTGTGTTCTTGGTTTTCCTCAAAATGTTTCTTTCTAGAGCCTAACGGCTAACCCAGAGCAGTTGCAAAGGAGCAGGAACTTTTGTCACTAGGGGGCGCAAGTCTCTGTAAATCTTAAGGGCTGCCTTTCACCAGCATCTTAGTTCTCCTTAGTCTTTGAAGTGCAGCAGCTTGCCTGGCCCTGGAGAGAGACTTTCTGCAGTGCAGCTATGCTGTCCATATCCTGCGCATGCTTACTTGGAATTGAGTCCTGCAGTGCTCAGTGGGATATACTGCCTTGTCAAATATGCCCAGGAAGAAAGCTGGCATGTGTTCCTGGGTGGCCTGGCTCTCAATATCTGGCTGCTGCTGGGCTCTCCATGGCTGAACTGGGAAGTGGGAACTCTCCTGCCTGGACTTTTCTGTTGAGCTGACTAAGATGGTTTGGGTTTTCATCTGGCATTATATTTCTCCCTCCCTTGCAGGGTTGGAGTGACCAAGTTCTGAGGCAAGACGGGCAACTTATCTTCACCAGCAGTGTATAGGAATGTCAGAGGAGCCTTCTGCACCAGGCCAGAGGGGATCATCTAGTTGAGCATTCTGTTCCCACCGTGACCACCAAGATGTCAGCCAAAGACACAGGGCTGCTCTGTGGATGGGCAGAGCTAATGTACAGGGAAGAAGCCTCCCTGCCCGTCAGCACTGCTTGCATGGGCAGGACAGGAGTGCTTCTCAACCCCAGCTGCTGCAAACCGCAGGAGGGGAGAGTTGCTCTTGTGCTCCTGTCCTGTTTGTGGCTTTCCCTTAAGGAGCATCCGGGGGGCCACTGTGAACAGGATGATGGAGTAGAGGGGCCAGTGGCCAGATCCAGTAGACTCTTCTTATCTGCTCTGAATCTCCTGCATTGGTTCCTGCATGAGTTCTGGTGTTATGAGAGAGGAAGAAAAACACTTTTCCTACCCACTTTCTGCAAGTCTTGCAGGATTTTAGAACCTCTGGTTCCATTGCCTCTAACTTGCTTTTCCTCTAAACTTCAAAGTTCTGAAAGCTGCATATTTTCCTCATAGGGGAGTTGTTCCATTGATACGGCTGATCTTAAGAAAACGTCCTGCTTGCATTCTCTTATGTACCTGGTAGCAAAGCAAGCGTTTTGCTCTGTTGGGTTAAAGGTGCTATTTGAAAACATTTCCCCTCTTTTCTCCTAGATTTTTATCCATTCAAAGTGCAATAATGCCATTTTTTTCACATACTTTTGCCAACTTGGACTTTTGCCAACATAGTGCCCCCCCCCCCGAGATGTTTTGGGCTATACCAGGTTGGCGAAGCCTTCTCTAGAACCTGGGTTTGGCTGAGTCTATCAGTGGTCAGTGGCTTGAATAGCCAAATAGAACTTCCTGTTGAAGGAGCAGTCTACCTCTGAATACCAACTGCTGGGGAGCCACTTAAGAACATCCAGGAGGATCAGGTTAGTCCTTGATGGAAGCAGGGTGCTGGACTAGATACACCTTGGCTCTGACAGAGAAAGGATGCTCTTTTGAGCATAGGCCTCGCTGTGCAGCAGCTTTCACCAAGTTGTGTCCTCCAGATGTTTCGGATTGCAACTCCCACTAGGCCCATCATGTTGACTGGACCTGTGGGAGTTGTTCAAAACATATGAAGAGTGACATATTCACCATGGTTCTCCTATAAGCCCTTTCTGTTACTCGTTTTGTTAAAAGCAGATTTTGAATACCAACAGACCCATCAGATGGGGATGGGGATTTCATAGAATTAGAAGGGACCTGAAGGGTCATCTAGTCCAACCTCCTGCAATGCAGGAATCCCAACTAAAGCATCCATGACAGATGGCCACCCAACCTCTACTGACAAACCTCCAAGCAAGGAGAGCCCACATACCTCCCAAAGCAGGTTGTCCCACTGTCTAAACAGGTCTTACTGTCAGCAAATTCTTCCTGATGTTTAGTTTGAATCTCCTTTCATGTACCTTGAAGCCATTGGTTTGAGTCCTACCCCGTAGCACAGGAGCAAACAAGCTCGCTCCATCTTCCATGTGACAGCCCTTCAGATATTTGAAGATGCCTATCATATCTCTTCTAAATCTCCTGTTTTCCAGGCTAGACATACCCAGCTGCTTCAACTGCCGTTCCTCATAAGTCTTGGTTTCTAGACCCTTGATCATCTTGGTTGCCCACCTTGGCACAGGTTCCAGCTAGATACTAGATGGCAAGGGTGAGCTCATGGCAAATTCAATATATTTTTCAAAAAACTTTTAAAAAAGTATTTTCTTTTTTAACTTTTTATTTTCAATGTTTCAAAAAGAAAAATCACAATTTTTTACACACACACACACACACACACACACACACGCTTATATTACACCACAGTCCATATCAGTACCTTTATAGGATTCCCCCGGACTTCCCTCCACCCCTCCCTTGGCTTCCAAAATTTATCTTCCTTTTAAAACTGTATCTAATTGCATTTATCCAAATTATTGTACTTCATATTTATACTTTGTTATTTTGAATTACAAGTGCTATGTCAATCCTGCCAACATTTTAAAATGTTTACAGTGTTCTTTACTATATTCTTTACAGGTATGTCGTTCTTTAGTAAATTTGTTAAACTCTTGGTGCCTGATTTTCCTGGTCCACCTTGCCATCTCCGCATAGTCCATCATCTTCATTATCCATTCTCCTTTCAATGGGGCTCTTTCTTCTTTCCATCCATGGACAAGTAGTATTCTTGCCGTTGTCATCACATACATAAACAGTACTTTCTTATCCTTCGGTAATTCTTCTCCTACCAAGCCTAATAAAAAGGCCTCTGGTATTTTTTTTTAATTTTTTTTTTAAATAATTTTTTATTAAGGTTTTAAACAAAGAAAAAAGAAAAACAACACACACAAAAAACAATACAAAACTCAACAATAAAAACACAAAACATAACAATTAAAAACAAACTCTCTTTTCCATTTCCAATTTTAAATTACTTATTTTCTGGACTTCCTCATACCTCCCTCTTTTGTATTCCAATCCACATTATTTATCCAGCAGTTTCTTTTCCACTTTTTAAATCCCAATCTTTAATATAATAAAATGTTAAAATATATAACTTCAGCTTTTTTAAACCTAATCCTTACTCTTAATGTCATATAGCTTTAAATTTTTCCCTTTTATTATCAAATTTCCATTTCTTTAAACATCTTTAATCTTAATCTTTAACCTTAATCTATCCTTATCTTTAACCTGTACAGCTGGAAACCACTTATTTTCAATCCAACATCACTCTAACATTCCTTAATTTTGCAATGTTTCTGAAGATAGTCTTTGAATTTCTTCCGGGCCTCTGGTATTTTTAAAATATGTGTTTTACTAGTGGGTTTTTTATGTGTATCTAGATTCCACCTTACAGCTGTCCAATATTCCTCTTTTACTTTGCCAAAGCGCCCCAAGCCTCTGAGCACCCCAGGTTCTGCCTCTCCGTTTAGAGGACAGGCTCTGTGCTAGCAAAACGTTTCCTGGCGTTCTTCTCACAGGACTGTATTTGCAGGGATGTATCCCAAGACACAATGCTTCTGGATGCGGTCCTTCTGGAAGATGGAGGGGAACTCCCAAGCCATGGCCTGTTCCATCATGAAGCTGCTCTTCCCATCGGCCGGTATGGAGTTGAGATTCCTCGCCACCCCGAATGCAGTGGCCCTCCCAGGTAGGTGGCATTGTGGCATTGTGGGTCTTCTTCCAGGCAGGTGGAGCTTCTGCTTAGAAGTCCTAAGGCAGGCCGGCCTTCCAGCTGGGGTTAGGCACATGAGGCTGGGTATCTTCAGAGGGTCAGGAAGTACACACGCCCATCCTTCTTCCTGAGTTTCTGAAATGTGGTGAAACTGTAAATATTTTCAAATGTCTTTTTATTAAAGATTTCTTGGTTTACAAAAGTATGTGCAATGTTTCTTTTTTCAAGTTACATTTTCTACAGGTCAGTTTCATTTGTTTTTTTAAAATGTATTTTTAGTAAAGATTGTCTTGATTTGCAAAGGTATGTGCAATGCCTCTGTCTCGTATTTCCCCTCCCCCCCACCTAACACATTTTTCCCCATTTGTTGAGACATTAGGAAGAATAGGGGGAAAGAGGTGGAGGGGGGGGAAAGATGAGTGGTGGTGGGTTGGGGGTGTTTCTATTTTACTTAATATATGTGGGGTTTTGTGTCAGCATTGCTTGTGCAGGTTCTTTGCTGTTCGCTTGTCTTCCTTTGGTGGTGAGAGAGGTTGGGGTTGGCCTCGGGTGTGGCTGTTCATTTGTGGTTGGCTGTGTTGGTCTTTGTTTTCATGTGTGAGGGGGTGTTTTGGATCAGGTTAGCCATATTGATTTGTATTCTTTTGGTGAATTTTTGTCGTTGTCTTGTTGGGCTATGTATGTGATAAAGGGGAGCCATACCGGGGTTAAGGGGTCTTCTTCTATTTGTCCCCATGTCAGTTTCAGTTCATTGGTTAATTTTTTTAATAAGGCGGTTTCCCATACTATTTGGTATCATTGGTCCATACTTATTCCTGACAGGTCTCACCAGGTTATGTTGTTTCTGGCTGCTGAGAATAGGTGGGTTATGAGTTCTTCATGATTTGAGTGGGCATTGTTGTCTTGGAAGATGTTTAGTAGGGCCAGATCTGGTGTGATTTCTAATACTTGCTTAGTTATTTTACATATTTCTCATATGGATTTTGTACAGAAGAGTTGGATTTGGGGGCATTCCCATCACATGTCGAGGTATGTGCCTGGGGAGGTGCACCCTCTCCAGAATTTTGGTGAATCACCTGGGCTTATTAGCGCTAATTTCCTTGGTGTTAGGTACCACCTGTAGGTAAGTTTCAGAGTGAGTGCTTTCCTTTCCTTTGATATGCATTTAAAGCAGGGTTTAGACCATGTTCTGGTCCACAGAGTGGGGTTAATCTCATAGGAGGTTTTTGGGGGTGGTTTTTGAAGGTTGTCAGGGGCCTAGTTGCTGCTGATTTTACTACTGGATTGTTTAAGAGGGCATGCAATTGGTGGTGTGTTAACCAGGGCATTTGGGCGTCTTCTAGTTTGTCTTGTATTTCTTGTGTTGGCAAGGGTTTGCCATTTTTATAGAGGTTGGTTAGGCGATATAAGCCTTTGGTTTGCCAAGTTTTTATCTGGAGGTTTTGTGCTGTGTGATGGAATAATGGGTGGTGTGCCAGGGGAATTACCGTATTTTTCGCCCTATAGGACGCACTTTTTCCCCTCCAAAAATTAAGGGGAAATGTGTGTGCGTCCTATGGGGCGAATGCAGGCTTTCGCTGAAGCCTGGAGAGCGAGAGGCGTGGGTGCTCACTGACACCTCTCGCTCTCCAGGCTCCAGGAAGCTATCCGCAAGCCTTGCACGCCCGGGGGGAGTTCCTCCGGGCGCGCAAGGCTTGCAGGCGGCAGCCTGCAGCGCGGAGCACGGGGCGCCCTCCGGAGGACGCCCTGTGCTTTGCACAGGTGTCAGCAAGTCTTGCGCACCCGGGGTAACACCCCCCCGGGCGCGCACGGCTTGCGGGCGGCAGCTGGCAGCGCGGAGCATCGGGCGCCCTCCGGAGGATGCCCCGTGCTTCACGCAGGTGTCCGTAAGCCTTGCGCGCCCGGGGGAACTCCCCCCGGGCATGCAAGGCTTGCGGGTGGCAGCCTGCAGTGCGGAGCACAGGGCGCCCTTCGGAGGACGCCCTGTGCTTCGCGCAGGTGTCGGCAAGCCTTGCACACCCGGGGGATCTCCCCCCAGGAGTGCAAGGCTTGCAGGCGGCAGGCGGCAGCCTGCAGCACGGAGCACGGGGCGCCCTTCGGAGGACGCCCTGTGCTTCGCACAGGTGTCCGCAGCCTGCCGCCCGGCGCGTGGGGCGCCCTGTAGCAGAGCGCCCCTCATATCGGACAGACATCGGCCAGCCCCACAAGCTCGGGGGACAGCGGGGAGGCGCAGCGCCGCCATCCCACTGTTCCCCGACCTGGTTTTTGGGGGGAAATAATGGAAAAATTTTTTTCCTTTATTTCCCCCCCCCCCACAAAAGTAGGTGTGTCCTATGGGACGGAGCGTCCTATGGGACGAAAAATACGGTAGTGGGGATCGGGTTGGGGACAGTTTGCCTATTTCTGCTTTTCATGCTTTAAGCATGGTCTCTGTGTACCTGTTAAGTATTGTGGGAATTTTCCTTAGTTTGTTTGGAATTGGGTATGCTGTGGTGCAGGTATTTTCAATTGTGTCTCTCTCCAGGTGCACCCACTGTTTTGTTTCATCTTCTACTATATATGGGATTATGTAGCATACTTGGCTGGCAATGTATGTTGGGGATTCTCCATCCTCCCTCTGTGGAGGGGAGGTGCAGGTATTTGGGGCTTTTTCTTGGTTTTTTGTTTGGAATAGGTAGGTTAGTTTTGGGAGGCTGATCATTTTGAGCATGGTTATTTTGTCTGAGGGGACGCGGGTGGCACTGTGGGTTAAACCACAGAGCCTAGGACTTGCCAATCGGAAGGTCGGCAATTAGAATCCCCGTGACGGGGTGAGCTCCCATTGCTCGGTCCCTGCTCCTGCCAACCTAGCAGTTTGAAAGCACATCAAAGTGCAAGTAGATAAATAGGTAGCACTCCGGCGGGAAGGTAAACGGCGTTTCCATGTGCTGCTCTGGTTCGCCAGAAGCGGCTTAGTCATGCTGGCCACATGACCTGGAAGCTGTACGCTGGCTCCCTCGGCCAGTAAAGCGAGATGAGCGCTGCAACCCCAGAGTCGGTCACGACTGGACCTAATGGTCAGGGATCCCTTTACCCTTTATCCATTTTGTCTGAGAGAGTGAAGTTGATGTTGTTCCATCTCTTTAGGTCTTTGATAATTTGCCACCAACTAGGAGTTGTTGTTGTGGAGGTATACTTTATTGAGGTTTCAGGTTCTTTGTACCCCATAGTATCTGAACTTGGTGTGGCAAAGTTTTATCTTGGTGACGTTAGCGAGGTCTTTTTGTGTGTGGGAAGCACATAGCTTCCGACTATGCAAAATTGACCTGTAGGCCCAACACCATTGCAAATGTGTTGAGTTCTCTGATTAAGGAGGTTGCTGTGTTTATGGGGTCTGGTGCTGTCATCTGCAAAGAGTCCTAATTTGTAGGTTTTGCCTTTTATTTCCACTCCCTTGATGTCTGTGGCTGCTCGGATTCAGATTGCTAAAGGTTCCAGAGCCAGGATGAATAAGAAGAGAGACCGTGGGAATCCTTGTTTTGTGCCTTTTTGGATTGCTATGGTATTAGAGTCCCTGTTGTTAGTCTTCCATATTGCTGAGGCTTGGGAGTATATTTGATTGAGGATTTGCAGGAAGTTGGGGCCAAATTTCACGTTAGTACTGCTAATAGGTATTTCCACTCTAAGCAATCCAAAGCATTGAGGATGTTTAGGGACATAATTGTCAGTGGGTGTTTAGTTGCCGTGCTGTGTTCAATCACGTTCAGTAGTTTCCTGATGGGGCCTGTTATATTGCAACCAGGGACAAAGCCAGTCTGGTCTGGGGAAAATTTTTGTGTAGGAAAATTTTTAGCCAGTTGGCCAAGTTTGATGTGAATATATTGTCGTCTTGGTTTATTAATGAGACTGGGTGGTGTGATTCTACTTTGAGGCTGTCTTTCAGTGGTTTTGGGATGGAGACTGTTTTGGAGTAGGTCCAGGATTTGGGGAAGGGCCCACCCTTTATGATATTATTGAATAGGTGGGTCATGTTAGGCATCAGGGGTTCTTTTAATTTCCTATAGAATTCTTCTGTAAAGCCATCTGGGCCTGGAGCTTTGTGTGGCTTCAGGTTTTTGAGGACCATATCTATTTCCTCTTGGGTGATAGGACTGTCTATGAATTCCTGTTCCTCATAAGTTAAGGTAGGCATGCTCAGTCCTGGTGTTTATATATGAAGTGATGCGTTTTCCTTTGATGAGGTTTCCCAATTTATGCCATACAGACATAATTACATGCAATGTAATTGCTTTTAAGCTAGCTATCTTGCTTATCTTGGTGATTCCCTGCCAACCCGTCCGGATTGCCCTGTGTCTCTCACCTTGTATTATCTATCGAACCAATGGAGTTGCGCTGTCCTAGAGTTTGGTGGGTGGGGGAGTAGAGGGTTAGAATTAGATTTGGGTTAAAGAGTGGGGGGGGGTAGATTGCAGAAAATATCCTATATGTAGTCATATAAGTTTTTATTTGGGATATCTTGGGCCATCTGGCATTTAGCTGTTTGGTCCTAGGTCTCAGCTGGCATGGAGGGCCTTGTTTTCACAGGACTGTATTTGCAGGTATGTATCCCAAGACACCTGATGCGCTACGTCTGGAAGATGGCCTGGTCGATCATGGAGCTGCTCTTCCCATCGCCCAGTATGGAGTTGAAGTTCCTTGCCACCCAGAATGCAGTGGCCCTCCAAGGTAGATGGCATTGTGGGTCTTCTTCCAGGAGGGTGAAGCTTTTGCTGAGAAGTCCTAAGGCCTTCCAGCTGGGGTTAGTTACATGAGGCTGGGTATCTTCAGAGTTTCAGGAAGGACACACACACCCATCCTTCTTCCTGAGTTTCTGAAATGTGGTGAAACTGTTAATATGTGAGCTTAGCAAAATGAGTAATTCCGTTTTAACTAGACCTTCATCTTATAACCAACTGTGGACTACTAAAGTGGGCGGGATGTGGATTTCCTTTCAATTCCCCCCAAACATTTATTATATACTGATTTGAAATAAAAATATTCAGTCTAGGTCAAAATCGGTAGAACATCATAAATGTAGAAGCAATGGCCCAGGGGCCATACTATATAGTATTACCTGAAAGTCAACTTGATTTATTTATCTGGTTATCAAAGCAAACACTGCTGTTTTAGTGCAGGAACTCACATTGTGCGCCCTCTGAATTAAGGGGGGGTTTGACCTGTTTCTGGTTCAGTAATGTGAACAGGTCTAGTGTGTGTCCATGTCTTACTAAACACATAACAATCTGCTGTACAAATTAATTGAAACAATGAATTTCGTACAATAGTTTATTGTACAAAACTCACACAGAGATGTACAAAACTCACAGACATGTACATTATTAACGGATATGACCTCCGCTATTTTTAAGCAGCATTTGAACACAGTTTGGCATGGAGTCTACTCATTTCGAACAGTTACTGTTGATTTTCGGATCCCTGTACCACACTTGAATCAGCACCTGAATGAGTTTCTCCATAGTCATACAGTCTACAGCACAGAGGTGACTTTTGCATATATCCCACGAATTCTCAATGGGATGTACATACGGGAAATTCCCTGGCCAATCAAGTACCTGTATTTGCTGCTCTGTCATGAATTTCTTCACCACTTTCAATGTGTGACAGGGGGCTAGGTCCTGCTCCAGTATCCCAGTACCCTCAGGAGACTTCTTTTCCAGCTCTGGAGTAACTCTCTTTTATAGTACCATTGGTGGGACATATTTTCAGGATGGAGCCCTACCATGACCAACACTTAAAATTGGCTTGGCACCTTGTGATTATACTTCTATTTGGTATTTTGATGTTGCTTATATTAATGTGTATTTTATACCGTTATATTTAAGTTAAACTTTTGTATGGAAAAGTGGTGAAAATTTTTTTTACTCAGAGAGGGAAGGAGGAACAGATTAGCTAAGCATGGAAGAGGTAACCGTGTTAGACCAAGGGTGGAGTTTATGGGCAATCTATCCGGAAGACATTTGTATTTCGAGGAGTTAGTGATCTGACATGGTTACCCTTCCTGCCTTCTCTTCCTTCTCCCTCTCGATCTCTTGAGCTGTGAATCAGGAGATCTGTAATGCTGGATGTTTTTAGATATGCTGTAAGCCCCCCAGAGTCCCTTTGGAAAGCCAGGCAAATGGGTGGGTTATAAAGATGATGTTGATGGTGATGATGATTTATTTATACATATAGCTGATGTCCATACAGAAACTGTGCCAAAACTTGTGATGTTTATATTTTAAAAAGATGAATTCTACAATCACAGTTGCAAGCCCTTTCTTTTTGCATGGTGCCTAGTCACTGATCTAAGTGACAGCGGATGGCTGTATAGGAGCTACTGCTGGATCACACTAGGTTGATGGCATTCACTGTGCCATAAACTCAATATTTAAAAAAAAAAAATCCCCCCCTCCATGTGGGGTGGAATTTAGTTCACAAGAATGGTCAATTTCAAGCCAGTGCTTTTCATAACTAAGGGGAAAAGTGAAGAGAGAAATGAGAGCCGGTTTCGGCCTTGTCAGCCCATTGAACAAGGCACCTACATAGGTGAAGAGCCACATCCACACCACAAACTTCAGGGATTTCACTAAAAACACTTTAAAAAGGAGGCCTAAGATATGGCAATAGCTGCTGGAAAAGTTACAAGTCACTGCACATTGTCTTTGTCATTGTCTTTTGTTAGCCATGTGTTATCAGGCCATCAGCTGCAGGGTCATACACTGAAAATATTCTTCTATGTTCCTATATTGGGACAAAAAAAAGAGAGGCACTAGCGGGGATTCCAAACAAACTACACAGCTAATATTATTGTCCCTTGGTAAAACCAAGTTAGCCCATGATTTCTTAAACCAAAAAAGCACTAGAAACCAACATTTGTAAGGGCAGTACAGAATTGGCCAAGTGTGAAGGCTGGAGCACTTACAAGTGACGCACACAAAATGTAAGCCACAAAGAGCAATGTGAAGGTGTTTCCATGCGATGGCTACCTTTGTGCTGCAAGGTATAATGTGCATATTTTTCTCCATGGCACGGCAAAGCCTGAGAAAGGCTTGCAGTATCACAAAAATGGCTGGTCACCCAAGTTAAAAAAACAACCACCACCAAGCCAGCAGCACCCCCTGTATGGCAATTATGTGTGCCAGTACTCACGATCCCATTTCTCAGAAGCAGTCATATGATGAATACAGTGCAAAGTCTGTGAGGTTTATGAGGCTTGTGCTGATCCGCTGCCTAGGTTTTAAGTTGCACCTCACTAGGCGGCAGCCTATGTAGTTTTCTGCCGCATTGCCCCTCGTAGACAGCATGGAAACCATGTGATTCAGCTTGAACTGGATGACAGAGTAGTGGAATTCCCTCTCCTTGTTCAGCTTGTGGAAATCATCTGTCCTGTGGTTGGCAGCATAGTGTATGGACCTCAGGGATGTCAGTGAGCCCATAGAGCTTGCCCAGGAGCATTTGGAAGACAGTGAAGAAAGCGACCGAGCGCCAGATGTGCTGATCCTCTGCCTAGGCTTTAAGTTGTGTTCTGAGGTGTGTATCCTCAGAGAAGGTTGAGCATTTTAAGTGAGACAAAAGTTCTTTGATGGCAGGGTGTGAATTGTGGAGGAGATTATACATTTTAGATAGATATTTTCCTTTAGGCTGGATTAGAGTTCCCTTTACTTTTGATATTTCTCCAGCAAACCCTATTTTCCTTGTCTTTCATTCAGTTGGAAGTATTGGAATCAGCCTGTCAAACATATATGGATATATATGCCCAATTTCCCTTCATGTTTTTCTTCTTAACGGCAAAGGCTTTGATGGGTGAAATGCACCAAGGGCTTGTAGGTTCCAGGAGATATTTATATTTTATCCATGGTTTATATAAGGTCTGAGTTGTGTGGCTGCATCTTCTGGTACGGTGTTGGCAAGGGATTGAATCTCAGTGCAGAAAAGGAGAAAGGACACTTTTGTTGAGGGGTTTTTAAGCGTTCATGTTTCTGTACAGACATCAGCTACATGAACGCTTCCAAAACCCCTTAACACAGAGAAAGCTAAAACATTCTGCAGCTTGATTGCCCCCCAATGGCAGAACATTCAGAGTGCTCCTTGCAGGCGTATCTTAAAGTTTAGTACCATGGGGCTCCAACCATTTGTGCCATATGACCAAGCAAGGCATCTTTCCAACTGCAGCAGCCCCATTTCCTTTGTAAAAGATGGAAAAAACACAGTTCCATGGAACAACAGGTTATGTAGTGTGAAAGAAACATTGAGGGGGGGGGTGACAGAAACCCTAACAGAATAATCAGGAACAGCAAAACAATAGTCACCACATCTAAATACAGCCTATGGCACAAAACCATTCAATTCTTCATGCCCCTGCTATTTGCAGAATCTCCTGATCCCAGCAGAGCTAAATCTCTGCTGAGGACTTGTTGCCTCAGTTGGTCGGAATCCCCCACTGCAGGTACAAGGCAGGGCACACTGAGCAGACCTCCTGGCCACTCAGGGCTTGAGCCCCCTCAGTATTTCTAGACAGGGTGCTCCATTCCCCCAATATTGAGTGATCCACAAGAGCCAGATTCTGGACTTGAAGAATTCCAAGCACATTTATCTTTTTCATTTTGGCCAAAATTATGCCAATAACCGTAAACTAAATTTGGCATCAATTCTGTCTTCATTTGGGGAGGTCTTGGAGCTCTTAACCCGCAAGACACCAAAGTCAGCCATGGAAATCTTGCCACACGTCATAGATTCCATAGGTCCTCTCCAGTTGTACAGTTGGAGAGAGGGAGGAAAGACCTTGACTGGAGAAAGGATCAGATGTATTCTTCATGCTTATTTACTGGTCAGGAGATTTCTTACTCAAATCCAACATTGCAACAGCTTGTGACAAATGTGGACAGATCTTTTGTTTGCTCAGAAAAAAGGGCAACACAAAAAACCAACAACTTTGCATATATGCAGCTTGTATGTATATTTTGGATTATACTTTTTTAGCATCATTTTGAAAGGGGACGTTCAAGAACATGAAAACTGAGATTTCTTAGGGCTGTTTTGCCTCATGGTTTTTGTTGCTGAACTCTAATAGAGAGAACACATGTATACACCCTTTGGACTGTGCCTGATGAAGCACTGCCGTTCACTTCTCTCCTCTTGAAGCATAAACTCTGCTGATGTATGTTGAGAAACTGCAGCAGAAATTGCAGTGTATATATATATATATGTGTGTGTGTGTGTGTATATATATATTTATATATTTGATTTTTTAAAGAAAAACCAGCTTAAGATTTATTATGCAAAAAGCTTGTATGAAAAGTTTTATAAAAAAACAACAACACACCAAAGGAAGAAGAATTTATGGATGAAGAAATCAACCTTCCTGCCAAAAAAGATACATGTGTTCTCTCTATTAGGGTTCAGCAACAAAAGCCATGAGGCAAAACAGCCCTAAGACACCTCAGTTTTCATGTTCTTGAAAGTGCCCTCCCCCCAAAAAAATGATGTTAAAAAACTATAATCCAAAATATACATACAAGCTGCATATATGCAAAGTTGTGGGGTTTTTTGTTGCCCTTTTTTCTGAGCAAACGACAGATCAGTCCACATTTGTCACAAGCTGTTGCAATTTTGGAAGTGTGCAATTTCAGTAAGAAATCTCCTGACCAGTAAATTAGCATGAAGAATCTGAGTGTTCGGAGCTTTTTTAAAAAATAAAAAATAATCCGCCCAGTCTCACACACAAACCCCACAAAATATCTTCTTGTGCAAAGTTTCTTCTTGTTTAATACAGCAATATGATAGTTATTAAAAAGTGGGCTTGCTTTCAACGCCCCCCCTCCCTGGCCTGCAAATTTTGTTTTCAGGCTGTTGGAAGAGAATAACATTGAGGGCAGAAAGTTGTTTCTGGAAGACCAGTCCAGGCATCAGCAACTGGCTGGCCAGACCCATGTTCTACAGCTTATCTGGAAGTGAATGATGGTGGTCTCTTCATTACTGGATGCACAGAGTTAATACATCTGATCCTTTTCCCGGTCAAGGTCTTTTTTATCTCTCACCTTCTATCTTCTGTACAACTGGAGAGGACCTATGGAATCTATGACGTGTTGCAAGATTTCCACGGCTGACTTTGGTGCCTTGCGTGTTAAGACCCCCAAGACCTCCCCAAGTAAAGACACAATTGATGCCAAATTTAGTTTAAGGTTATTGGCATAATTTTGGCCAGAATGAAAAATGAAGAGAAATGTTCTTGGAATTCTTCAAGTCCAGAATCAGGCTCCTGTGGATCTCTTGCTGGCTGCTACCAGTGGATGCAAATGGTTTCTGTTTCTTTTTTTAATTTTTATTTCAAATCAAAAAAATATTACAAACGTCAAATTCAAAATCCATATTTGTTTTCTAACACAAGCTTATTACAGAGATTACCTAAATTAAAATATATCTACTTGCTCTAGGCTTCCCTTTGCTCTACATAAATACAGCACAATTAACAAATCATATTATAAATGATATTAAAGGTTCCCATATACCCCCCACTCCCCTTCACCCATGTGTGATCTCAATATTTTACTTCTTCCACCTTGTTGTGTTGTTATAATTTAATAATTATTCAATTGCTTCTATTATTTTCTTGCTTACCTTCAAGTTTTACACATTCTCTATTAATATTTCAATTCCGGGACCATATTTTTTCATGTTTTCCTTCACTCCATCCCACTTTCTAGTTATTCTCTGATTTGAGTGGCCTCTAATAATTGCCGTCAATTTTGACGTTTCTACAAACTCGCCGAGTTTGTTTTGCCATTCTAATAGTGATGGGATATTCTGGCAGCTGCTGTTGTGTAAAGGAATAGATTTTTCTTGTCTTTGGGAATGTCATTAGATATTAGGCTGAAAAATTTCATGAGGTGATCTACAGCAGGGTTGGGCAGGATAATAGCCCAAATACCTAGAAACATCATCAATTTCTTTTTATTTCAAAACAAAAAAAAAAAATTAAAAATCAAAAAAATCAAAGGTCTGCTCAGTGCCCTGCCTTGTACCTTCAGCGTGTGATTCCGACGAACCGAGGCAACAAGTCCTCAGCAGAGATTTAGCTCTGCTGGGATTAGGAGATTCTGCAAATAGCAGGAGCATGAAAAATTTAATGGTTTTGCGCCAACACATTTAGATGTGTTGATTATTGTTTTGGTGTTCCTGATTATTCTGTTAGGGGTTCTGCCCCCCCCAATGTTTCTTTCAAACTACATTACCTGTCCTCCCCATCTTTTACAAAGGAAATGGGGCTGCTGCAGTTGGAAAGATGCCTTACTTGGTCATATGGCACAAATGGTTGGAGCCCCATGGTATTAAAATTTAAGACACGCCTTCAAGGAGCACTCTGAATGTTCTGCCATTTGGGGGCAATCAAGCTGTTGACCTCCGTTACTGGCAAGTAGGCGGGCGCGGTGTTAGGAGCCAGTGTTGTGAGTGTGGTTGCTTGCTTTGCCTTCTTCTGCCTGTCAGTGACCATCCGGGAGAGGGTGGGAACGAACCACCCCCAAACCGAGCTGCAGCGGAACGAGGGAATAAGGTTTGCCAAGGAGAGACGGGACAAGCCATTCCTTGGACGTCCATCACCCCACCACCAGTGCTCTTCCAGTAGGGGAGAGGACATAAGAACTTAGTGGATCCTGGAGGGGGGGGGGAGAGTTGTAGGGGTTCCTGAAACCTCTAGCTGTCTTTCGAACGGATAGTGTTGAATATGAATGCTGGTCTGTATGATCACTATCAATAGTTGTTATTTTTTCCTCATTCAGTGGGGCTTGAAAATAGTTGTGAAAAATCACATCTAAAAAAAACTAAAAAGAAAAATTAAAGCGTTTATTTGGATTTTCATTCTCTCTGCAAAAGGAAAGAAGGGAGAGGCAGTACTTCATCTCACACAATCATTAGAGTAGTGCATTCAGGGATTAATTAACAAAAACGAGGAGGGTGCTCTGCTTAGAAAGCAGCAAAGAGCTGGTTGCTCCATCCCTTCCCACTGCTGCTGCTGCTAATGGAGGTTTGGAGGAAAATGGGCCGAGTTCTGGGATTCGTCAGGTGGCAGCTGCCATGCTGCCAGATTCTCCCTGTCCTCCGTGCTCTGCCGGTCCATGTGGCAATTTGCAGAGGGGTGATTTCCACAGTCCCCCACCATCACACACACCCTTCCTCTATGCTAGGGAAATAAAATTGCAGGAGTTCCCAGTTTCTGTACATACATCAGCAATAGGTACGCTTCAGTCCTTTCTACACCAAAACGGATTCTCTTTCAAGCATGCCATCAGGTGGTACCGCCACACAGCTCACACCCGCCCTTAATGAACTTTTCAGCTACTTCAACCACTCCACTTTTCCCACGATCTGCATGTTCTTTTCACTCATTTTCTACAACTAGATGAAATCCATGCTACTCTCGCATCAGTAGCAGCCCCACAACCACCACCCCGTCCCTCCAAATATTATATATAATATTATATATAATATTATATATAATATTATATATATATATATATATATATATATATATATATATATATATGATTAATCCGAAAGTCTATATATCTAGCAGGGTATCCTCTGCCCTCTTTTCTGCAGCAAGATTGAACAAGGCACCAACATAGGTGAACACCCACATTACAAACTTTTTTTTTTTGTACTAAGCTTTTAATTTTGTCAGAATGCATCTCTTGTAACTTCAATAATGGAAAGCATTCTGTGTTTACCAATCTTGTCATACTCCTCTTCTTCCTCCTCCTCTTCATCTCAATATTCCCGTGGTTCTTCCTCTTCCCCCCCCTTTTTGAGAAAAGGTTTGGGTCATCTGAAAAATCTACCTGCAAGACAGAAGTCACTGGCTTCTTGTGTGGCTTGTCCTTTTAGCTTCCTCTAGCTTCTTTTTTTCTGTACTAAGCTTTTCCAAAACCAGCAGCAGAAGCAGGATGGGACGGAGCAGCCAGCTCTTTGCTCCTTTCCAAGCAGAGCACGCTTTCTGGCTGTTAGGATCCCCTCCTCTTTTTTGTTTTTAATCCCTGATTGCACCTCCCTAATGACTGCGTCAGATGTAGCACTGCCATTCACTTCTCTCCTCTTGCAGAGAGAATGAAAAATCCATTTGTGGGACATCTTTTCAGGCTAGTGCCCTACCATGACCAACATTTTAAATTTGGCTTGGCGCCCTGTGATTATACTGGTTTTTGGTATTTTGATGTTCCTTATATTAGTATTTTATATGTTAAAGTTAAACATTTGTATGGGGAAAAGGTATAGGTTTTTTTACTCAGAGAGGGAAGGAGGAACAGATTAGCTAAGCATGGAAGAGGTAACCGTGTTGGACCAAGGGTGGAGTTTATGGGCAATCTATCCGGAAGACATTTGTATTTCGAGGAGTTAGTGGTCTGACATGGTTTCCCTTCCTGCCTTCTCTTTCTTCTCCCTCTCGATCTCTTGAGCCGTGTATCAGGAGATTTTTAATGCCGGATGTTTTTAGATATGCTCTAAGCCCCCCAGAGCCCCTTGGGAAAGCCAGCCGAATGGGTGGGGTATAAAGATGATGATGATGATTTATTTATTACATATAGCTGATGTGCATACAGAAACTGTGAAAAAATTGCAAAGTTTATATTTTAAAAAGATGAATACTACAATCACAGTTGCAAACACTTTCTTTTTGCACTTTCTAAACGGCTAATATTATTGTCCCTTGATGAAACCAAGTTAGCCCATTATTTCTTTGACCAAAAAGCACTAGAAAGCAACATTTGTAAGGGCAGTACAGAATTGGCCAAGTGTGAAGGCTGGAGCACTTACAAGTGATGCACACAAAATGTAAGCCACAAAGAGCAACGTGAAGGTGTTTCCATGTGATGGCTACCTTTGCGCCACAAGGTATAATGTGCATATTTTTCTCCATGGCATTGCAAAGCCTGAGAAAGGCTTGCAGTATCACCAAGATGGCTGGCCAGCCAAGTTAATAAAACAACCACCACCAAGCCAGCACCCCCTGTATGGCAATTATGTGTGCCAGCTCTCACGATCCCACTTCTCAGAAGCAGTCGTATGATGAATACAGTGCAAAGTCTCTGAAGTTTATGAGGCTCGTGCTGATCCTCTGCCTAGGCTTTAAGTTGCACCTCACTGGGCGGCAGCCTATGTAGTTTTCTGCCGCATTGCCCCTCCTAGGCAGCATGGTAACCATGTGATTGAGATTGAACCGGATGACAGAGTAGTGGAATTCCCTCTCCTTGTTCAGCTTGCGGAAATAGTCTGCCCTGTGGCTGGCAGCATAGTCTGTGGACCTCAGGGATGTCAGCGAGCCCATAGAGCTTGCCCAGGAGCACTGGGAAGACAGTGAAGAAAGTGACTGAGTGCTAGATGAAGTTGAAGTGGCCTTCCGAGAAATGGGAGATACTTCTTTAGACAGCAGCCTCTGACTTAGTTAAGGACACATGACTTGTGGGGTTGAGGTTTTTACTTCACCCTGGGGTTGTAGCTTGGACATTTGCTGAGGGGTCAAGAGGTGAGGAATTTGAGTCTGGTCCTTCCACAGGTTGGGAAGAAGGAGGTGGGAGGCTGTCCCCAATCTGAGAACAGGACAGCGCTTCCTTCTCTTCCCTCCTTCTTCACTGCCCCCTTATAACATGCAGTGAATCTTATGTCTTCCCTCCACAGTCTTTCCCAGGCATTTTGATATTTCTCCAGGAAACTCTATTTTTCTTTTGTTTCATTCAGTTGGAATTATTGGAGCCAGTCTGTCAAATATTTATGGATTTCAAAGTCTTTTGATCTCAGTTTATTCTTTTGCCCTCTAATAACATTTTATATGTTTCCCAATTTCCCTTCATGTTTTCCTTCTTAACAGCAGAGGCTTCGATGGGCAAAATGCACCAAGGGGTTTTAGCTTCCAGTACTTATTTTTGTGGGAATGTTCAGGGATGCAAGAGAGGATATATTGTCTGATTATATCCTTTTCCAACTTGTGTTAACAAGTTCCACAATTTAGCAGAGTAACATTCCCCTTTTTTAAAACTTGCTGCGGATGCGTTTGCTCAGGCTCACTAAAGCCTCTATAATTGTTCTGGTATTTCCCCCTTTTTCCCTCATAAAAGATAAGACACGACACAGTCTTCTATAAAAGTATAAAAAGGTTTACTCACACATTCTGTTTACAATCGGATGCCAGAAGGCAGACTTGGGTTAAAAAAGTAACATCTACTTGGAAACTATTCCATAAGAAGACAGTCCTTTTGTCTTGGCTGGAAGCCAAGAGGGCATCTTTGGCTAAGCAGATGTTGCTTCTTCGATGCATGTGGAGAAAGAGAGAGAGATGGCTGCCCTGCCCTGTGCTTATGTCGTTAGCATATTTTTTCATATATTCCTTCACTCCATCCCACTCTCTAATTATTCTCTGATTTGAGTGGCCTCTAATAATTGCTGTCAATTTTGCCATTTCTACAAACTCGCCAAGTTTGGTTTGCCATTCTAATAGTGATGGGATTTTCTCCCCCTTCCAGTATTTTGCAATCAGTATCCTGGCAGCTGCTGTTTGATAAAGGAATACATTTTTTTTGTGTGTTTGGGGATGTCATAAGATATTAGGCCTAACAGAAAAGCCTCTGGCTTTTTTGTAAACAAAATCTTAAACAATTTTTTCAGCTCCTCGTATACCTCATTTTTTTTCAATTTTACATCCCCACCATTTGCGTGTCGAGGTCCCCAAGACATCCCCCAGTAAAACACAATTGACACATAATTTTTAGTTTAAGGTTTTTGGCATAATTATGGCCACAACTTTATTAAAATTACAAGCAATGTGAGTGGTTGCTTAGGCATTGGTTGCGACTATCTGACCCCACACGGGCACAGACTAACATTTGCATGCTCCCAGGGGCTCTTGTGGTCCTAGCCCCTTGACAGGGGTTCAGACTAAAGCATGGCGAGCCCCTGGGTTCCTTTAATGGAAAACCCTTGCAGAAGCAGCATTTTGAAGGGGCAGGCACAGCCAATCCATACCTCTCCACCAACCAATTTCTAAACCAATGCCTAACTGCCAATCAAGCACTGAAGCTCGCCGCCCAAACCACTCACAATTTTAACCCTTCCTTCAAACCCAACTCAACAGCAGCCAACCAGGTGTATTTTCCTGACGGGAAAGGTGCAACCCATCAGCCCTAAAGAGGGCAGCAGCCTTGAAGGTAATCACAGGGTGCAAAATCACAGAACCACCTAAAGCAAGGACCTTTTTTACCGCCGCCTTATTAACGCACTTTCTGGCCTGCTCGGTGGTAGTTTGTCTAGGCATTGGTTCCCGACTAGCTGCACCTGACCTCAGCAGGGCAGCACTGACGACTGGGCCCCACCATATCGTCAGTACAGGTAAACATCGTGGGGGAGCAATGAACCAGGATCAGACTCAAGCTCCCCCCAAATGCTCCCAGGGACTCATGCATGGCCCTACCCCTCGAAAGCGGTCGACAAAAGAATGGCGAATCCCTGGATACCTTTAACGGAATACCTTTGCAGATTGAAGGGAACAGGTTCTCCAACACACACACCCCAGACCACCTTGAACCAATGCCTTAAAATATTTTGAGTCCAGGGAGAGCTGCCATCAACTCATCCAAG